CATTGGGGGAAGCTTTTGCAAGTGACTTTTCATGGATGTGTCACGTGTCACGTTTTGGAGCCTGGGCGTGTGACTTTTGGAGGAAGTCTCGTACGAAATGCTCGCTTTTGAGACTTGACGCGTGACTTTTGCAGGAAGTCTCGTGCGAAACGCTCGTCTTGCAGCCTCGCAGCGTGACTTTTGGAAGAGTGTCCTACAAGAGTATCCCACAAGAGTTTCCTACAAGAGTGTCCCACAAGAGTGTCCCACAACAGTGTCCCACAACAGTGTCCCACAAGAGTGTCCTACAAGAGTGTCCCACAAGAGTGTCCCACAAGAGTGTCCCGTATGAGTGTCCCACAAGAGTGTCCCACAAGAGTGCCCCGCAACAGTGTCCCACAAGAGTGTCTCACAAGAGTGTCCCTTAAGAGTGTCCCACAAGAGTGTCCTGTAAGAGTGTCCCACAAGAGTGTCCTACAAGAGTGTCCCACAAGAGTGTCCTACAGGAGTGTCCCACAAGAGTGTCCTACAAGAGTGTCCCACAAGAGTGTCCTACAAGAGTATCTTACAACATGTTCCTACAAGAGTGCCCCGCAAGAGTGTCCCACAAGAGTGTCCTACACGAGTGTCCCACAAGAGTGTCCTACAAGAGTATCCCGCAAGAGTTTCCTACAAGAGTGTCCCACAAGAGTATCCCACAAGAGTGTCCCACAAGAGTGTCCCGCAAGAGTGTCCCAAATGAGTGTCCCACAGGAGTGTCCCACAAGAGTGTCCCGCAACAATGTCCCGCAAGAGTGTTTCACAAGAGTGTCCCTTAAGAGTGTCCCACAAGAGTGTCCCGCAACAGTGTCCCACAAGAGTGTCCTACAAGAGTGTCCCACAAGAGTTTCCTACAAGAGTGTCCCACAAGGGTGTCCCACAAGAGTGTCCCACAAGAGTGTCCTACAGGAGTGTCCCACAAGAGTGTCTCACAAGAGTTTCCTACAAGAGTGTCCCGCAAGAGTGTCCCGCAAGAGTGTCACACAAGAGTGTCCCACAAGAGTGTCTTACAAGAGTGTCCCCCAAGAGTGTCCCACAAGAGTGTCCCAAATGAGTGTCCCACAGGAGTGTCCCACAAGAGTGTCCCGCAACAGTCCCGCAACAGTGTCCCACAAGAGTGTCCTACAAGAGTGTCCCACAAGAGTTTCCTACAAGAGTGTCCCACAAGAGTGTCCCACAAGAGTGTCCTATAAGAGTGTCCCACAAGAGTGTCCCACAAGAGTGCCCTACAAGAGTATCCCACAAGAGTTTCCTACAAGAGTGTCCCACAAGAGTTTCCTACAAGAGTGTCCCACAAGAGTGTCCTACAAGAGTGTCATTTGGACATATGTAGCTTTTCGATCGTGTTTGCATTCGGGTTCGTGGGCTCCATCTTGTTTTTTTAAATTGGGAAGTCTGACCCGTCCGTCGCAATTTTGGGGTCCCCGTGCCAGTCCTGTGCCTTGGTAGCAGGGTTGTGAAACATGGGTCCTGGGTAGCTGGGGAGAACGCGTCGACCAGATGGCAGGCGTCGACCTTACAGCGTCATCCTTTTTGATGAGATGGAGAAGGTGCGACAGAGTGGAACAGGATGACGCCCAGTACGGCGTCTCCCTCCACCCATTTCATTCAACAGCCTGTGAGTGGGGTGAGAGTGAGGTCCTGTGAAAGACAACACACAAGAGGCAATCGAGAAGGGATGGCTGCTATCAATCTATTGGATTTGTTTGCTTTATGAAGCCGTTATCATGGAACTGGGTGAACCTCTTGAAAGCCTACTGTCTTGGGTTGTAGATCATCCCAGTGTTCCTCCCACACCGTCCCCCGTGCCCCGTGCCCGTACCCGTAGGACCCGTGTGAACCCACCTCCATCCTCGCTGTTGGCCACGCTCATCGAGGCTCATCCAGACGTCTTCAACCTCCTGTTGCAGATTCTGGATGACGGCCGCTGCACAGACTCGCAGGCGGGGAGTTGCCTTTGGTGGTTGGCTTCCGCAGGTGAACTCGGGCGTGACACGAGATTCTTGTAAGGCCTTTGAGGTAGCCTATCATGTATTGCATTTCGGAACTTGATCATTGAGATCAACTGGGAACGCGCGCATTGTGTTCCACTTCGTTTCTTTGCGCAGTCCCTTCGTTTCCTTGTTGGATCAACTGAAAACCCTTTTCGAAGGCTTGACAGGTTTCCGGTTTTGTGTGTGGCGTCTCCCAATACACATTCAATCCACTATGTTATTGGATCCGGCATTTGTCTCGTGCATGGGGCGATTACAGCAGTTGTTTGTTGCCGCAGCAAGACCAACACCACCTCCCCCACCCCATCACCAAGTGTTGGTGCGGGTGGTGTGTATCCCAAATCATTTCTGCAAAATCTACGGTGGGATAGTGGGAGTTCCAAACATGATCTCGAAACTGTTTTTTACGGCCGCGTTTTCAGAGATTTTGTGCTGAGTCTGTGCTCCCGTCCTCACGCGTTCGGTCATGTTTGGTGTGGTAAGTATCGAGCAAGAATTGAAGCAAGAAAGGTCCCGCTGGCGCAGGGAAGGACTGTGGACTTCAAGAACACCGTCATTGTCATGACCTCGAATGTGGGCAGCGAAGCTATCTCCATGCTGAATGACGCTGAGAGCGTGGAGGCGGCCGTCAAGGCGAGGTCTTTTCTCTCGTCCAAGAGACGACTTTAGGCGTTACGCCTGGAGTATCGTATCGAACCCACCACCTTCTTCTTTTTAAACCCAGATAGAATTAGGCCTGGGCGGCCCCAAGGGCTTGAAACAGCTCGGAAGTACACCAGCTGCGCTGGTGCTGCGGAAGTACACGCCGTGGATGCCTCGAGGCAGCCATGATGCAAAGCTTTCGGCCAGAGCTGCTGAATCGAGTGGACGAGAAGATCATCTTTAAGCCCCTGGGATCTGAGGAGTTGAAGGCCATCGCCAGGTGGGGCAAGTGTGAGTTCTCTTTTTACAAGAGTCCGGAGGTCGTCTTGTTGACATTGCAAACAGGTGGAGCACCAGCTCATTTTTCCAAGGTACGGTCATTTGCTGTTAGATAGTAGTGTCATTCCCCATATCATTTGTAATCATTTGTGCCACACTGTAAACTGAAGTTCGTTTTGAGAGATCAAGGAGGGCCCCTGACTAAAGTTGAGACTTCCGAGGCATGCTTCTCGCAAGTGCCTGGAACGTCAGCCGTCCCTCCCCACTCCGCGTCCTGGAGGCTTCAGCTTTTGCGCGTCCAAGATCGCTTGGCCAGCAGGCCCGGATGGGTTGGCCCGGAAGGACTCGGGGCCGCCTCTGGGCCGCCGTGACGGCCAGGTCTGTAACTCTGGAGGTCACGGATGCGGCGCTGGAGATCATTGCAAAGCGTGGCTACGATCCCACCTTTGGGGCAAGGCCCATCAAAAGGCGCGACGTGGAGGGAACGGGTGACAACCCGGATGTTCCATCGAATGGGCAAAAGAAGGGTCGTAGAAAGGCTGGAGAGTGACTCACCTACAATCATTGCTCCCTTCAGAAAAGAGAGATCGTTTTCAGAAAGAAACGACGGTCAGAGAAGATCTAGTGTCTAGTGACTCGAACAGGATCAGATAAGATGCGTGACTCACTACGAGCGTGACTCACCGCCGGTTTTTCTATCTACGACATGTAGATAGACCGCAACTGCGGTCAGACCGGTCAGAGTCTGAGTTTCTCCACAGATTCGCCAGGTCCATCGTGGCCAACGTGGAGACGCCCTTGGCGCAGAAGGGCTTGGCAGGTGAGTTCCAGGATGGAGATACAGTGCGAATAGATGCTGAGCCAGACGCATGGCTCGGTTCAGGCTTTGAAGGCTTCAAAATCGGGCTTCGATCTAAGGCTACACGAGCGTCTAGAAACCGCATGGTTTTTTTGGGCCTCCGGGCTGACACCGAGGGCTGTCGGATAGCGACACCGACACCGACCAGAAGAACCGAAAAGGGCCTCATGATTCGGTCACATCCCGACCGAACAGGCAAAAGCAGCCGGTTGGCAGACTGGTTCCACCGTCTTGTGTAGATAGCCCAGTCAACGGGGCAGTCCGGTCGGCAAGGATGGCTCTTTGTCTTATAAGAAGGTCATGGACGTCTGACTGCAGCTCGCGAGAGCCGTTTCGTTTCTTGAAAGGTCCAGAGCCATTCAAGTTGAAGGATGGAAAGTGCTACATTCATTTGAGTGTGACAGTTCTTTTCAAGATCTAGAGAGACGCCCTTTCCTGAGACACACAACAATTTTTGTTTGAATTTTGAAGACCTGTTGCACTCAGCCAGCAGACTCTGCAACAGAGGCTGTGTGGTAAGCAGGTCGAGGTCGCTTTGCTTCAAACCTTTTCACCAGGATCAACATCCTCAACGGGCCAGCTTTAGTGATGTTGTCCTCATTCAACTAATTTTCATTGGCCATTTGAAGAGGTCGCGACCCAAAGGCTTATGTGGCTAGATGCAGGGAGTCATAGTGCCTATGGCTGCCAATGTACAGGGCAGGCCTCCGACTCCGCCACTTGGTCACAAGCTATCATAAGTTCCAATGTCACCTGCCAAGGATCTTCCATTGCAGGGAGCCGACAACAGGCTCAGAGACTTATTTGGTGTGACCCGACAGTCGCCTCACTGTTGCCTGCATGCGCGCCGAATGCGCGCTACTCGAGTGATCGTGGATGCAGACTGCTCATGTTTGACATCTGTCTGAAGGAGCTTCTCGAGGCTTCTTGAGGCCCATATTTTTCTTCGTTAGTAATTAGTACACAAGCTCATGTGTGGGCCAAACCGAAGCTCATGGAAGGTTGACCCCAAGTCCACAACGGGATTGGTTTGACCTCCTCCTTTTGTTCTCTTGACTTTTCTTTGGGGCCTTCCCGGAAGCCAGCATGTCGGGAACAACACCCAGCACTGAGCACTTTGGGCCTCCCCATGGGTTTGTGAAGGTCACAGTCTTTTGGGAGTGCCACCTTTCCACTCGTGATCTCGCCCCAGCTCGATGGAACTGGAGGTGATCTGCCACGAGCGCATCTACAAGCGGGAGGATCGTTGCAACTGCACCGAGTGCCCCGGGAATGAGCGAATCCTTTCCAGTGCCAAGAAACACATGGGACACATGGCTCAAAACCCATGGGACACGTGGCGGAACCCTTTTCATCCCTGTTCTCTTTCTAGTTACTGTATAGCTTTTTGAACCTTGCTTCGGTCAGAAGGACCCTCCGGGTGCTCCCGGGCGTCATGCCGTTGGCTGTAAAGGTCTCCCCACTTTGCTCCCGGGTGTGAATCCAGATTTGTGCAAAGCAAAAGCATGTGGGGGCCTTGGTCGCGGATTCCCATTGCATGCGAACACGGGGGCAGCTTTGATCATTTTCATTGTTGACTGTCCGCAGGTATTCCTGGAGCGTCAAGCGCCGTTTCAGTGAATTTGCGCAGTTGGATGCGGGTCTCCGGTCGCACTGGCAGAGTTGGAGCACTTGGCACTTGTCGCAGTTCATGTCCAGCCCAGTCAGTGACTGGTTCGACGTCTTGTTGGTCGTCCCCAATTGTAGGAACATCAGTGGATACGCATGAAACTCGGAGGGTGGCGGAGCGGTTTGCATTTGGTGCTGCACTAGCTGAGGTGGCTTGAGTGAGGTGGATGGGTGAGAACTGAGATTGTCCGTGTTGTTTTCAAGCACTGCAGCATTTGAGCTGGCTTAGCAGAACATTTGGCTTGTCCAACTGTGTGTTTTCATTTGTATCAGAGGCTGCTTACGGTAGTTTTGTTCTGAGATTCAAGGCTCCATGCGCTGAATTTCGCAACTTTCTCGGACACTTCAGAGAATCAATAGGACACTGAGATAATCGCGAGAACTTTGGTCTGCTTGATCAAGCCATGGCTTCTGAGTTTGGCTAACGTGATGCCGACAAATGTGGCTCAGGACCTTCAAGCGGTCTGTCAGGAGTTGACCGTGTCGTCTGTCACTGCAGGTCTTGGTAACAATCTGAGCCATAGATGGCCTTTTACACTTTTGGATGGTTGATCATGAGGGGAGGTCCCCCGGGGTCGTTGGCCCACCATCGCCACAGCCTACACCGGTGCAGCAGCGAACGGAGCGTCATCGCTGCTCCAACGGCCTGTTCCCCCCGTATACACTCTGCGGGTTCAGAAATGGCACATGCAGAGAGCAAAGAGAGCAGCAAGAAGGAAAGACGAATCGAATCTCAGACATGTAGACTGTTGATGAATAAACCCCACCTGCCCAGAATGGGCTTTACATCTCCATGTTAGGGGGGGTAGCTGTATTCGTTAATCCTCTTTATCACATGCCCACCATGTGAGCTCGTTTGAACTCGTCACCGCGCCTGCGGAGGCTGCCCAGTCACCGCTCCTCTCCCACCTGGCCAGGGTTCCCAGCGCCCAGCGCGCGTTTAGCTTCCGGACCACATGGGATCTGGACGGCTCCGGAAGACTGGTGTTCTGTTATAAAAAGCTACTAGTAGCAAGAAGCTACTAGGGGCTCCTGGCATCGCTACTAGGAGCAAGGACGCTACTAGGGGCTCCTGGCCATACTACTAGGAGCAAGTAGCTACTAGTCGCAAGAAGCTACTGGGTGGAGGCCATCGCAAGTAAGGTTGGAGGCCACTGCTGCGACCGTAACAAGAAGCTGCTAGAATTCTCCCCTCCAAAGACACTGTTGCAAACGGTATGCCGGTCTGCAATCATCAGTCGACGGTAGACCATGCAAGCAGAAGAACGCACGGGAGGAGGTTTGAGATGGTCAATGTTCAATGTTCAAGAGCTGCAGAAGTACGAGCCGGGATTGAAGACCACGTAATTACTTCGATCAATGTCAAGTTTAGGTTTATGTAGGCTTGAATGCTCGAGCCATGTAACTGACTCTTTGCAAAGCAGGCTTTGAACCAGAAGGAGAAGCCAGAATCTTTGCTCAGAACCCTAAAGGCGGGACAGTCCAAAGGGCCATGCCATGCTACGTTGCTCTACCATGCCACGGTTGAGCGGGTGTAGGCGCTATGATCAGTTCGGATCCGAGCTCTACCGATGCAGGCCACGCAGGAGCCCAAAGTGATCTCCTGGGTCGCAACAGGCGGCGGCTTCACAGGAGCACCTTCACATGATCTTGGTCTACGAGAACGAACTCTTCCAGGGTCCATAGCTATGTGAAGGATGGGGGGGCCCCCGTAGCAGAAGATCAGTCATGATGGGGTCATGAGTCATAGACGAGGTTTCTTCCGAATTCCAAGAGCCACATCCCACTGGATCCACGGTTGATATGATGAGCTTTTGAGTTCAAGTCTCCCAAGCTCATGATTCTTTTTACCCGGTTCCTTGGGTGAACTCGTGCCAGGTGTGTGTGAACTCGTTTGTTTTGCACTACCACTCGAGCTCGCGATATCGGCCCCCACCCCTTCGACGTCCGATTCACGCCGGCGCACGCGGCGCACGCGGCGCACCGAGCCATCCGAAGTCTTAAAGCTAAGGGATTTTGGGCCCCATCCAGTCAATCAAGAGGATGTTTGCAACTGTTTCCTGTTGTTTCTTTTCGGTTTTCTTTTTTGCCTCCTGCAAGGTGGCAGACGAAAGAACACTTCTAGGTGGTCTCGACCTGTGAGGCTTTCAATACATGGTTGAATCGGGCTTCTAAACGACTGAAGAACCAAAGGAAGAACATTTTGGCTGTGCGGCCGTAGCTTCCAAACTTCGAAGCGCAAAAGCCTCCAACCACATCTGGAAAGATCCGCCCCCCTGCTTTGGCCAACCTCCGAAACACATCGCTCCACGTGTCGTTCGTTGGAGTCATACGCCGGTGTGACCCCCTCAGTGGCCTGAAGAGGCCTGGAGCTGAGGGCTGACCAGGTTCCCGCACGCTCGGCCGGGAGCGCCGAGCGAGCGGCCGGGAGGACGGAGCGGGAAACGGCGCGGGAGGGTCGCAACACCCCAGACATCCTGAGTAGGTGAAGATGATGATAAACGTTGATGTACGCAACATGTGGGGCCGTAGGTTTTCGCGTTGGACGTTATGATCCATGGGCACGTACCTTTCATTGGTCTCCCACTGGGCCTTTCCACGTTTCTTCCACGGTAGGTAGATCTGCTCTTTTCCGCCGGGACCCGACCTCCAAGGCGGTGGCGCTCTTCAACCGCTTTGCGGATCTAGGCGCCTTCCGACGGTCGCACGCGTGGCCGGGCGTTCACGGGCGTTTTTCTATGTTTTTCTTATGATAAGATCTTGAAGATGCCGAGAACGAAAAACCTGTGGTGCCTATTAGGGATCTTCACTTCATCTGTGCAGGGTTTGCCTTTCTTTGGGATGCCAGGCGGTCCCTGGACAGAGGACAAAGAGGAGGCAGGTGGGATGTTCAGGGTAGCTGGGTAGTGACTGCAAGTTCTTCACAGGTGATGCAGGTCCGATGAAACATGATGAAACCGATTCAACACGATGAAACGTGGTGAATTTCCCTACAACGGGTCTTGGTGACACCTGCCAAGACCGGAAAACGAAGGCAGCTGCCGGCATCCTGGGAGTTCGGTACCTCAGTGGTTGATGACTCTTTTCATGATCCCAACAGTCCAAATGGTCGGCGCCTGGTGCCTCATGTGCACTGCCAGTGAACGTTGGATATTCCCAGTGCATCCCAGTGCTGTGTTGTCTTGGACCAGACAAGCGTTCTGGGTGGCGGCGCTTGGCTTGTGTGGGTCAGATTCCCTCTCAATACACTCAATACACGGCTTTTACCTGGGAGAGGTCGAGAGAGAGAGAGAGAGAGAGCACACAGGAATTCAGCTGACATGTTCCCGAGGGTGTTTAGGGTGACACAGCATGGTTGCCCTGTTGCCTTTGAGCTCATTGAGGCTCTCTCAGAGCTGCTGCGCTTGCATGAAGAGGAGCCAAAGACATAGTCAGGATGGCCACGATTCTCAACAAAAACTCGCAAGGTACTTACATTTGCATCGCTATTTGGTTGGAGGCCATTGCTATTAGGTTGGAGGCCATGTCTCTTGGTTTGACAGGAGAAGCTGACCTTGCAGGAGCTGTTGCGCAATGAGGCTGCGGCTGCCCGGAAAAGATGTTGTGGATGTGTCAGAGGTGGTCAACGGGCTACATGTGGCCTTTTTTGAGATCCTTTTCTCGATCTCAACAACTCATAGCAACTCTAAGCGATCAACATGTCTGATCAGCCCTTGACAAGGCAGCTGTTGCACAAAAACACTTTCAAGTATAGGTGTGCTTTCCCTCGAACTCTTTTTTCTGCGCCTCCTTTGCTCGCAGGTGTATTTACAGCAGGTGATTCATGAGCACAGTCACGGTCACCATACCAAGTGCCAGTACCACTCACCTGAGTGCCAGCACGGGTCGTACTCTCGAAATCTCACGAAGTCGAGGCATGGTTTTCAGAATGTTGTTTCTGCCTGCGTATACCTGTGCATTCTGCAACCTCCGCAGTGCGACAGGTGGAGACCGGCAAGCTGCGCTGGTCTCACACCCCAGAATGGGATAGGCGATGGCCACCTGGGTCCACCGCAATGGGTGTGCGTCGCGGAAAAGATAAAACATCTTTACTTCTGAAGATTGAAGCAATCCCTGCCAAGACTCAACTCTTTTTGATCTTTTTGCTCAACTCCTTTTACTCATCTCCAGATAGCGTTTCAGGTTCTCCTTTTTCGAGGTTTCATTCGAGCGTGTCAGCACCGATACCATGGGACCTACCGATCCGAAGATGTGCCACCGATCCGCCTCGTCGGCGAGAAACAGTTCTTCGAGGCTGCGACAGTTCTTGGAGCTCTTGGCACGGCCCGTTGGAGCCCTATCATGAAGTGACGAGCGTCAGGAATGTAGAATGTTGGATGAATGAAGAAGTTTTGCAATCCAACTGGTGATGTAGACTGGGAAATGTAGACGGTTTTTCTTTGGATCACCAGTCTACATTTCCCTGGCACTTGGGGGAAGCTCCGCTGCCTCAAGGTTCATTTGCCAGCTCCGCTGGGCGCAGCAGCCAAGGGCTGCGAGGCCAGGGCAGTATTGGCATGGCTAGATGAAGTCCTTGAAAGTGTGGAGCCCCAAAGGTCCAAAGGGTATTTGTTATTCTTACCTTTCTTTTCGAGTCGAAGCTGTCTTTTTGAGGCTCCTCCTGTGTCACCTTGATCCATCCATCCATCCGTCCGTCCGTCCGTCCGTCCATCCAAGGAATGGCAAAATGATCCTTGAAGCAGTCAACCAGTTAGTAGAGTGGTAATACGGAATAGGCCCATCTTTTTCTCAACTCGCACGTGTGTTCCCGCAGTCGTTTACCTTTGTTTACGCTTGCTCTTTTCCGTCTTTCATGCCCTTGGGCAGGTGTTGGAGCAGCTGTGTCGCGGTCAGGAGGACAGAACACAACGTGACCTGTTGCTGGGTGAAAAGTCTGACCATTGTCCGTAGCGTGTGTTGGCTCAAGCTCCCTTTTCGAA